ACTCAGCCACCTCATCTTTGACAAAGGAGCCAACCACCCTCATTGGAGGAAAGATAGTCTATTTAGTAAATGGTGTTGGAAAAACTGGATTTCAACCTGCCAAAGATTAAAACTAGACCCATACCTATCACCATGCAGTAAACTAAGATTGAAGTGGATTAGAGATCTAAATATTAAGAAAGAAACACCAAACCTGCTGGAAGATAAGTTAAGTAGAACTCTTAATGACATTGGCATAGGAAAAGACTTTATGAAAAAATCTTCAGTAGCTTGGGAGCTAGCACAAAGTTTTAACAACTGGGATCTCATCATATTAAAAAGCTTCTGCACTGCAGAGAAACTACCAACAGAGCTAAGAGACAACCTAAAATGTGGGAAGAAATTTTTAACAGCTGTACCTCAGACAAAGGCCTACTATCGAAAATATATAAAGAATTGAAAAAAATCAGACCCCCTAAATTCAAAGACCCAATTCAAAAATGGGCATCCAAAATGAACAGACATTTCTCAGACAAAGAATTAAAAGCAGCAAATAAACATATGAAAAAATGTGATCATATTTCTCAACTAGGCCTAAAGAATCCCAAATCACTTGAGTCTTCTGCTTAGATTTACACTAAGAAATGATAAATAAAAATGAAGACAATTTAGGAGCACAGTGTCTATTGTATGAGCTACAGTTTTGTGTTGCAAATAATAGAAAACAAGCCTGGCTCTCCAAGGGAGAAAAAAATGTGCAGGAAAGATTTGAGGAAGCTCAGAGAATACATAAAAAAGCTCCAGTATCCAAGTTGAGGAAAATGTACAGGAGCTAGGAGAGGAAATACAATATCAAGCCACACATAGTTCGATTAAAATGTTGCTTGTGCTGTGACCGGAAATCAGCCAGTGCCTGGCTTTGTGGTCCTTTACTGTACAGGAATCTGAATCAATTTCTTTTCACCGTACAAAGTCACATCCATGGCCTTGCTGCCAAGGCATGCGGAATGAATGTGCCCCATCTTAGGTTTCATTTAAAAATGAGATTCAGTGCCTATCAAGATTCATTTACACAGAATTTTCCCAAATAGAGTGATTGTTCCTCAAAGAATTTAAAACTCTACTCTGTTCATTACAAGAAAAGTTGGACAAGGAGATGTGCACCTCTGAAACTCAGCTGAAAAATGAAAAAATAGAATATATGAAGGTTTTCAAAAAAAGTAGATATCAAGCAATGAAAGACATTGATTTCTGAGAAATAGCAAATAAAAGAGATGAGCCATCATGCTTCCCCAGCTTATCAACTTGAGGAAGTTTCCAGATTACAGCACAGGCAGGGAGAATAGGGGTGGAGTCCAGGGTCCAGAGAGACAAATGTGCTTAGAGTATGAGAGACAGAGGGGTTGGGAGCCAACAGCTTCATGGATCAAGAACGCCAAAGTGGTCCAAAGCATTATCTGGAAGCATTTGCTGTCTATTTGTGAGCAAAGTGTGGGAGGAAACTGCTGAGGCCATGGAAAGAACCACTCCAAAAGAGGTAGTGGTATGCTGTCATGTTAATTTGAGCATTAAAATTTGGGGAAATTTGTTACTCATCTATTGATTGTTATTTCAATTTGCTTTTTAGTTCATAGGTCTTCAAATTAATAGAGGTATCCAAGGTGGTATACTAGACATGATGTATATTACAAGACATTAAATTTGGAGCTAGATAACTCTACTGAATGAAACTTTTGGTTAAGTGGGCTGAATGTGTTTTAAATATGGGAGAAACTTGAATCATGGAGGTCAAAGAATAATCTGAGTTTTGCAGCAGTGATCCCTAAGGATGGAAATGTTGTCATATCGCACTACCTTTGAGCAATTACCTCTGATGCTCTCAGCTTGGCTACAGAACTTGCTTTAGCCCATGAGAAAATAGTAAACATAGATGCTAACAAACGGGGAAGAACCACAAAAAACCAACAATGCTCACTCCCTCTTGACACTGAACTCTGAGACAACCAGGATGAAAAGAACATAGACTGAGGGATCCAGTCATACCAACCAGTCCAGCCTTCTCATCTGAAAGCCCAGTCATATGAGTAAGGAAAGCCTCAAGAATCCAGCCCAAGCCAAAGGGGCCCCAACCAAAACAACTGCTGGCCAACCCAGAGAATGTGAGAAATAACAGACAATTGTTTCAAGTCACTAAATTTTGTCAATGATTTGTTATAAAGCAAAGACAGTAAGTACTGATGGTAGGGGGAAGTGGTAGCTAGAAAGGAAGGAAGGACAGTAGAAAAGGACCTCAGAGGTGTCTACATCCTAACTTCCAAGCCTTATGAATACATTATTTCATACCAAAGGAAAATTAAGGTCACTAATGAGGTCCAGATGGCTAATCAGTTAACCTTAAAATAAATATTATCCTGGATCATCTACATTGGCCCTATGAATCAGAAAGCCTTGTTCATTGCACCAAAGGGAGGCAGAGGTTTGAATCTGAGAGGAAGATGCTGTACTGCTGGATTTGAAGTGGAAAGAAGGGCGACCTCCAGAAGGTAGAAAGAGAAAGGATACGGATTGTGCCCCAGAGCCACACAGCCCATCCAACACCTTGCTTTCAGCCCAGTTGAGATTCATTTTCCAGTGCTGACCTCCATTGCTATACGATAATAAACTTGTGGTCTTTTCAGCCATTAAAGTTGTGGTAATTTGTTAGACCAGCAATAAGAAACTAAAAGAGAGATGAAGTACTAAGGCTTTTACATGCTTTGAATCTTCCTGGGGGGCAATTATTGTTTTAAAGCCAGGGCAATGATCAGTTTGATGAAAGATAGGCCTTTAGGGTGAAAAAACAGGGAGGTGTTGTAAGGCTCTGGCAAAGGCACCAGCAAACAAATAATAC